TAGCAGAAGACAAGAAATAGCTAAGATCAGAGCAGAACTGAAGGAGATAGAGACATAAAAAAACCCTTCAAAAAATCAATAAATCCAGGAGCTGGTTTTTCAAAAAGATCAACAAAGTAGACCACTAGCAAGATTAATAAAAAAGAAAAGAGAGAATAACGAAATTGATGCAATAAAAAACGATAAAGGGGATATCAGCACAGATTCCACAGAAATTCAAACCATCATCAGACATTATTACAAACAACTCTATGCACATAAGCTAGTAAACCTGGAAGAAATGGATAAATTCCTGGACACTTGCTCCTCCCAAGCCTAAACCAGGTAGAAGCCGAAACCCTGAACAGACCCATAACAAGGTCTGAATTTGAGGCAGCAATGAAGAGCCTACCACCCAAAAAAAGCCCAGGTCCAGACGGGTTCACAGCGGAATTCTACCAGACATGCAAAGAGGAGCTGGTACCATTCCTTCTGAAACTATTCCAAACAATCCAAAAAGAGGGAATCCTTCCCAAATCATTTCATGAGACCAAAATCATCCTGACACCAAAACCCGGCAGAGATGCAACAAGAAAAGAAAACATCAGGCCAATATCCATGATGAACACAGATGCAAAAATCTTCAATAAAATACTGGCAAGTTGATTGCAACAGCACATCAAAAAGCTAATCCACCATGATCAAGTAGGCTTCATCCCGGGGATGCAAGGCTGGTTCAACATACGCAAGTCTATAAACGTAATTCACCACATAAACAGAGCCAAAGACAAAAACCACATGATTATCTCAATTGATGCAGAGAAGGCCTTTGACAAAATTCAACAGCCCTTTATGATAAAAATGCTCAATAAGCTAGGTACTGATGGAACGTATCTCAAAATAATAAAAGCTATTTACGACAAACCAACAGCCAATATCATACTGAATGGGCAAAAACTGGAAGCATTCCATTTGAAATCTGGCACTAGACAAGGATGCCCTCTCTCATCATTCCTATTCAATATACTACTGGAATTTCTAGCCAGAGCAATCAGGCAAGAAAAAGAAATAAAGGGTATTCGAATAGGAATGGAGGAAGTCAAATTGTCTCTATTTGCAGACGACATGATTGTATATCTAGAAGACCCCACCATCTCAGCCCAAAAATCTCCTGAAACTGATAAGCAACTTCAGCAAAGTCTCAGGATACAAAATCAATGTGCAAAAATCACAAGCATTCCTGTACACCAATAACAGACTTAAAGAGAGCCAAATCAAGAATGAACTGGCATTCACAATTGCCACAAAGAGAATAAAACACCTAGGAATAAAACTAACAAGGAACGTAAAGGACCTCTTCAAGGAGAACTACAAGACACTGCTCAACAAAATAAGAGAGGACACAAACAGATGGAAAAACATTCCATATTCCTGGTTAGGAAGAATCGATATTGTGAAAATGGCCATACTGCCCAAAGTAATTTACAGATTCAAAGCTATCCCCATCAAGCTACCAATGACCTTCTTCACAGAACTGGGAAAAAACACCTTAAACTTCATATGGAACCAAAAGAGAGCCAGCATAGCCAAGTCAATTCTAAGCAAAAAGAACAAGGCGGGAGGCATCACACTACCAAACTTCAAACTATACTACAAGGCTACAGTAATCAAAACAGCATGGTACTGGTACCAAAACAGAGATATAGACCAATGGAACAGAACAGAGGCCTCGGAGGCAACACAACATATCTACAACCATCTGATCTTTGACAAACCTGACAAAAACAAGCAATGGGGAAAGGATTCCCTGTTCAATAAATGGTGTTGGTAAAGCTGGCTAGCCATGTGCAGAAAGCAGAAACTGGACCCCTTCCTGACACCTTATACTAAAATTAACTCCAGATGGATTAAAGACTTAAACATAAGACCTAACACCATAAAAACCCTAGAAGAAAATCTAGGCAAAAGCATTCAGGACATAGGTGTAGGCAAGGACTTCATGACCAAAACACTAAAAACATTGACAACAAAAGCCAAAATAGACAAATGGGACCTAATCAGACTCCACAGCTTCTGCACAGCAAAAGAAACAGTCATTAGAGTGAATCGGCAACCAATAGAATGGGAAAAAATATTTGCAGTTTACCCATCTGAAAAAGGGCTGATATCCAGAATTTACAAAGAACTAAAACAAGTTTACAAGAAAAAAACTAACAAGCCCATTCAAAAGTGGGCAAAGGATATGAACAGACACTTTACAAAAGAAGACGTACATGAGGCCAACAAGCATATGAAAAAATGCTCATCATCACTGGTCATCAGAGAAATGCAAATCAAAACTACAATGAGATACCATCTCACGCCAGTTAGAATGGCAATCATTAAAAAATCTGGAGACAACAGATGCTGGAGAGGATGTGGAGGAATAGGAACACTTTTACACTGTTGGTGGGAGTGTAAATTAGTTCAACCATTGTGGAAGACAGTGTGGCGATTCCTCAAGGACCTAGAAATAGAAATCCCATTTGACCCAGCAATCCCATTACTGGGTATATATCCAAAGGATTATAAATCGTTCTACTATAAGGACATGTACACACGAATGTTCATTGCAGCACTGTTTACAATAGCAAAGACCTGGAACCAACCCAAATGCCCATCGATGATAGACTGGACAGGGAAAATGTGGCACATATACACCATGGAATATTATGCAGCCATCAAAAACCATGAGTTTGAGTCCTTTGCAGGGACATGGATGAACCTGGAAACCATCATTCTCAGCAAACTGACAGAAGAGCAGAAGATCAAACACCGCATGTTCTCACTCATAGGCGGGTGTTGAACAATGAGAACACATGGACACAGGGAGGGAAGCACTACACACTGGGGTCTGTTGGGAGGAAATAGGGGAGGGACAGCGGGGGAGGGGCGTTGGGGACAGATAGCATGGGGAGAAGTGCTAGATGTGGGCGATGGGGAGGAAGGCAGCAGATCACACTGCCACGTGTGTGCCTATGCAACAATCTTGCATGTTCTTCACATGTACCCCAAAACCTAAAATGCAATAAAATTAAAAAAGAAAAAAAGGGCTAGAGCTGAGCTGGCAGAGGGACAGACAGCACGTGCTCAGCTCTGCCGCCCCATGCAGCCCCCAGGTCTCCTCAGCGGAAGCAGCCACAGAACGTACATCTTTAGATGGCTGCCAGCTGCACGCTGTTAAGGTTTGGAAGGTGGAAAAAGAGAAGCAGTGACTCATGGAGGGTGGGGTGGCCCATGCCCAAGCAGACATGAGGTCAGGACAGCCAACAAGGGGCTTCTTCAGAGCCCCAGCTCTGCAGCTGCCAACTCAGACAGCAGGGACTCCCAGGCGCTCTCAAGAGTTGCAGTGCCTGCAGGAACCCTCGAGTGAGACATTTGGGTTCTTCAAGCAGAGCCTGCGAATGGCAGCTTCCCTGATCTCCTTTCCCCCAGCTCTCCCAGACCCTGCACTGAAACTCCCACCTCTAAAAACAGGGAAGGGCTTCTGCTTTTTTTGCCAAACACTGGCCAACACCCCTGCCTGCTCACCTCCCCTTTCAGGAGTTGGTCTCCAGCACTGACCTGGGAACTTTAAATTTTATCAGTCCTCTCCTCAGACCCAGGGCCTCACCCTCCCTGCCCTGATGGCTGGTCCAGGAGTCTATGTCTCCTGAGGCCTGGCCAGGGAATGCAGGGGAGGGTCCCAGCCACAATAATTCTCAAGAGTAGATACGTGGCCAGTAACAGGGGAGCCGTGCATTTCTGAGTAACAGTTGGGTGAAAGCAGCTCCTCCTCCTTCCTCTGGACGGGTATTATGCAGAGATGGAACCAAAAACTACAGCTAGTGCTCGACTTACGACCATGATTGGGACCGGCAGACCGGTCGTAACACGATTTGGTCGTAAGCTGAGTAGGCTATATGTACAGTTGAAATGGTGCAAGCGGAGATGGTAGTGCTGCCGGAAGCTGGCCTGCACTGTCGTACGCCCAACTGGGCAACATTTGCGCTGCCAGACGCGGAGCAGTCGTGGCTAGCGATTGTGGTCGTAAAGTCAAATGGTTGTAAGTTGCGTAGGTTGTAAGTCGATCAATACCTGTACAGCAGCCATTTGGTCACCACAAAAGCAGCCAGACTGAGACTCACACCGATCACTCGGAAAGGGCAAATCAGGGTGCTGCTGAGAAACAGAACCTGAAGCCTGGTCAAGCAGACCCTGAAGTCCACCCTAGCTCTGGGTTTTCAATTTACACGCTATTAAAATCTGTTAAAATTAAACACATCCTGACTTATAAGTGTTTTCATAAGAGGACTTTACTTGTGGATTTCTTGGCTAAATGTATCAACATTTGTTTCTTCTCACTAAAAGTCCAAATTTTCACCAAAGCTGTATGTGTAAGATGGATAGCTTCATTCCACTTGTTCTTTTCGCAGCTGGTGTAAGCCACCAGGTTCTCTGTGTATTGCAAGATCGACTTTACAAACCTGTAAGAAAAAATTGTTTTATCTACTCCATTACAAAATGAAACAATGAATTAAATATTTTCTCTTAATTCTTGCAGTTATTCCTAAAGTAAACGGCACTTAATTTATGTCTGAGGATTCAAGAAAAATAAATTCATATAAAACAAAAATAAGAGAATACAAATTAGAGGAAAGAGAAAAATGCTGAAATGTAAACGCTGCTGGACACCTGCACAGGTTCCCACGCAAACACGTTCTCAAACATTCTTTCTCCAGCTCGGACATGATGGCTGTAATTCCAGGAAGGAACTTAGGGGTCATCTGCACCAAACTGACACACAACACAGACTAAATGCACAACACATCCTAAACACACAACACAGAATAAAGGCACAACACAGAATAAACACACAATACACAGTCATCCAGTGGATACCAAAATCCAAGCATACTCAAGTCCAGCATGAAAAATTGGCCCTCTGTACATGCAGTTTTCACAATCAGATTTTCGTGGTTTTTCCCACACTGATGTCTGCAACCAAGAACACTGTAATTTCAATCTGTGTTTGCATGGGACGCAGAGCCTGCTGATACAGAGGACCAACCGTATTTACTGAAAAAACTCCCTGTACAAGTGGACCTGTGCAGTCCAAACCTACATTGTTCAGGGGTCAGCAGCAATGACAAGCAAGCCATTTAGCCCCATCAGGAGCCTCGTGAGCAGGACACCCTCTCCCTCCTCACATGTCCAGCTTCCGTCCTTCGTGATGGAGGGGTAAGCTCAGAGGAGACACATGCCACTGAGACAGTTGTTGCTGTTAAAGGAATTTTCTTTAAGATTATTTGTCAGAATGTTAACAGCGGGGTGGCTCTGACTGATAAATGTCATCTTTACTTTTTCCACATTTGCCAGGTAGTTTTCACCAACATTTTATCTTGAAAATACCCAAACTTAAAGAGAAGCTAAAAGAATAATATGATGAAAAGCCACTTTGTCTAGAAGAGCATTCGCTACTGGGGTATTCTGACCTGCAGGGGATATCTGGCAATGTCTAGGCCACTTCTGACTGTCACATGGAGGGTGGTACACGACTCTACATGACTGGTACTTCATGGGTAGAGGCAGGCCTGCTGCTGCGTGTCCTACTATGAGCAGGGCAGTCCCTGCACCAGTCCACAATGCCAGCAGTGCCCAGCATGGAGCACACTGAGCTGGAGTCCCCTAACACTGAGCTGTGCTGTAACAGGCTGTATGTCAGCAGGGGCCTATGCTTCTTTCCATAAGATACCCCAGTTTTATTTTCACATTCATTTAAACATGTATTGAGCTGCCTGGCACCTGCAAAACATTGGCTTAAAACCAAGATACTCAGAACCTCCTGGCAGCTGAGGGAGGCTGGAGCTGTAGCTGCACCCAAGTCCAGATGACCACTTTTGGGACCTCTGCCTGGAAGCCACCTCAGTTTGGAATCTCTGGATGTCAAGTGGATCACACAACTGTCACACCACTTCGACTCCTAGATCGGGATGGTCCTAAAAAGTGAACTTCCCAAATTTGAAACTATTAGTTACATACCCAAATTTGGTTTTTGGCCTGGTGCTGTGGCTTTTACATTTGTAATCCCAGCACTCTGGGAGGTGAAGGTGGGAGGATCACTGGAGGTCAACATAGTAAGACCTCATCTCTACAAAAAAAATTAAAAATTAGCCAGGTATGGTGGCACAGCTGTGGTGCCAGCTACTCAGGAGGCTGAGGTGGGAGGATCACTTGAGCCTGGGAGGTTGAGGCTGCAGTGAGCCATGATTATGCCATTGCACTCCAGTCTGGGCAACAAAACAAGACCCTGTCTCTGGGGAAAAAAAAAAAAAATTGGTTTTCAGCCATTTGGAGGTAGAAATTTTCCTTGCAGTCCAGATGTCAGACCCTTGCCTGATACGGCGGTGGTGCCACCAAGGAGATGGGGGCTCTCACGCTGCCCCAATCTCACTCCTACAGGCTCACTCCCAATCTGCCCCACGACACACTGTTACTGCAGAGAAGTGTGACATACTTACTTTAGGTACTGCTGATACTCCTGCGTATTCTTTCCACAAACAGCATGAATGTTGACCAATTCCAGCACAATGAGTAACAGAACCAGGCTGAGCACAGGGGACAGAAGTCTGATACTAAAAACAGATAAAAATAAATTAAAATTTGAGGAACACTGGTTGTTTTCCACCTTCGTCAGGAAAAAGATGTTTCACCTAATCAACACGTCTTCAACTTCTCAAATAGTAATTTTCCTAATCATTAGAGCCCAATGCCTGTTTCCAGCCCCCAGGTTCGTGGCAAGAGGGAACGCCCAGTATAGCCCTTGCTCCCGGACGCCCTGCATGTCCACATTACTTGCTATCAGTCATCATCTGAAGGGCTGCTGGGGGCTCTGCACGCTCACGGGGCACCAGGCAGGCCCAATCTGTGCCCAGCCGCCCCCATGCTCCCTGCCCTCTGACATCCAGAAAGGAACTCTCACCAGAGAAAAACAAATGGCTTCAATATGAAAGCTGGCTGAATGCCACCAGATTAAAGAAACTCCAATTAAAGTAAGATCTTATTTTTCCCATGAAACTAGCTGATACATTTAAAAATATTCTGGTTTTGGAGAGTGGTAACAAGAGAATGATCTTGTCTTATAAACTGCTAGTAAGAGTGTAAACTGAGAAGCACTTTTCTGGAGGAGAATCTATGTAAAACTTTAAAAACCACAGATACACTCAACCCAAAAATTCTAGAAAAGTGTCCAAAATGGTCATTTCTTAAGGATGTGGCACATTCTAAAATATACACTATAAGTGAAGAAACCATAATGCTGGTTATACGGAAGTTAATCTGCTGTTATATTTTAAATCCAAATATTCATTTGGGTAGATAGAACCCACATTTCCACATGCCCAAATTACAAACAATATTTAAAATTGTATACACTATCACTTTCTATGAAAATCAGCCCAGCAAATCCTCAAATAACATTTCATTCAACTTTGTTTTGTCACATCGGTGAGAAAAGAAACTGGAAGGGGCACAGGCCTGGGGAGGTCTCACTCCGCAAACATGTGTTCCCCGATTCAACTACCACCTGGACTGCCATCACTCACCAAAAACTGAGTAGTTATTTCACTTGTTTTTATTCATCTTTCTTAAATGTCCAAAGAGCTCATATGTATCTCAGTGTTTAATATTATAAGTGTCTTGGGTCCTTATTTAGAAGCTTGGTAATATTTTTGCGACCAGAAACAGGCTGTGGGAACTTTTGTTTCCATTGTGACAGGAAAATAAATTTCAGGACTCCAAACTCACTAAGCCAAGTCAAGCTAAGGAAAAGCTTAACTAAAGAAAAGTTAAGCTGGGAACTGCCTCAAGAAACCTGCCTCCGGTTTTATTCCTAAATAAGATGGCTACAAAGATAAAAAAGTTACAGACCTCCCTCACAGTTTGTCCACAAGGAAATTCCTCCTGGGCCTCAACATCTTTACTCTAAGGGTTCTGCTGAATTTCACTCCGGTAATGTAATTGCTAGCTTATCTTCACAGGTGTGGGACAGAAAGTCATCCCTCTGCTCAACTGAGACAAATGCATATATGATTGCTTCTTCTGCCCTATGTTTATGGAAAATGCAGCTTCACTGAGCCACACTATGGTGTGACTATTCCTCTACCCACCTCACCAGTAAATTATATTCACTGAAAGGCAATCAAAGAGTCAAAATAATGCAATTCTTTGTCTCTTAGACTCAAAGTAATACAATCATTTGTCTCTTGTCTACCCACCTTTGAGTTTCCCACCTTTCCAGATGAAACCAATATACACTTTACACCTACTGATTGATGTTTTATGTCTCTCTAAAATGTGTAAAAGCAAGCTGTGTCCCAAATTCCCTGAGGCACATGCCATCAGCACTGCCTGAGGCTGTCACAGCCTATCCTTAACCTTGGGAAAGTTAACTTTCTAAATGGATTGAGAGCTGTCTCGGATACTTTGGGTTCACACTATCAGTTGTGAACTCCAAGTATATCAACACCTGTTGATGAGGTTCAGTGAGGGCCTACTATGTGTGTCTGAAAGTGGGGACTGAACTGCATCTATGACAACTTCCTGCCCCACAGTGCCCCTCCCAAACAGGAAAGTGAGCGCGCACCTACTCCGCATGCGCAGGTAGTTCAGCCGCTGGCGAGACCGCAGAGTCCTTTCCACCCACTGTGTGTGTCTCAGCTCTGAAGCGGCAGTGACCTGGCTGGACACGTGGTGGCACTGTTTGCTGATGCTTCGGAGCACAACCAGCACTTCCAGCACAATCCTGGGGCAGAATAGTGTGGGGACGGGTGTGTTGCAGAGCTCACAGAGCAGCTGTGAGCTGGGCCACCTGCAAACAGAGCGAGACTTGCAACAGGCATCCTGATCCTCAGTTGCGCTTCACTCTCCTCTGCACCTGCACTTGCAAGGCTGCAACCTTCTGGGAGCCAGGGCTAGCTGAGTATTGCTGACTGGTCTGCAAGGGCAACCGTGACATGTGGCAAGTGTTAACTAAATATACTGAATTGTGGTGAACAGAATGTGGCATTCACAGCTTCATCAGATGTGCCAAGCTTGCACCGTGACTGTCAAAGCTTATCTCATCATTCCTCTTGGAGCAGTAACAGTGGGATTCTAAGACTACCAAGTTTATAAAATCTAAAACATCGATAATGGCTAAGTTTGCTATGCTAATTGGCTGAATCAATGTTTCAACAGTTGTCAGGATGTTCTGGAACTCACATCTCAGTAGGAAGACTATCCAAGTCCTTTAAAACACAATGATTCTCAGGCATATGGTGATACAGTTCATCCATAATTTTTGTAATTAAAGAGTGGCAGGCATTTGTTTCAGAATTATCTTCTAATCTGAAAAAGAAAATATTTAAAGATATGTGACTATAATTAAAATGCCCATATTAGCGCCTATGCATAATAATGTTTAATGGTTCACTGAGCAGCAACCTTAATGTGACTCTTAGTCTCCTCAAATATAAAATGGAAAAAGCCACCAGGACAAGACAGTGGAGAAACAAACGACGCCAATGCCAAAAGCAAAATACGCTGATGACGAAAGACAATGAATCAGCGGAGTATTATTCCTGCTGAGCAAGTATGTCCACTGTAGTGTACGACTCCAAAATTTACGTCTCCATCCCCACTTCTCTCTTGAGCTTCAGACCCATCTTTTTTACTATCTACTCTCTATTTCTCGTGGGCACCATTGTCCACTCACAAAACCTGCTTCTCGTTCCATGTTCAGTCTCCACCAGGGCCCCATGCCAGCTAGGAAATCACATTCAGCATCACTTCCAGCTCCTCACAGTCTGCACCAGCCACCAATGCCCAGAAATTCCTCCTTCCCCCTTTATCTAACAGCAGCCTCATTAAAGGAGAAATGCTGCTGAAATTAACAGTACCAGACAAGCTCAAGGTCAGCCAGGCCTCAGGACAACACGCACCTGACAGCTTCCTGAGTGAGTTCTTCGGGGAAAGGCAACAGAGCCCAAACCCTGATGCTTTCCTCACAGCTCAGCACCTGGGAGGAAACGTTATATTGCTTTTGTAGATTTCACAATAACTTCCTAGAAAATCGATGTTTTTAGATTGTTAGGGATGTTACATTCCTCTCTAGAAAATACCTATCTATAAAATTGTGACAAATTCTAAACATTGTAAAAACTAGATGGTGGGTGTCAGTTCTTCAATACGTTCAGAGGCTGGGGAGACTACCAGGGGAATGGTAGGGAGTAAACATCTGGGGTGGCTGTGACCATGTCCACAGGCTCTTTTGACACCTCACATTGAGAGGGAAGTCCCCACCAAATCTGCACCAGCCCCAGCAACTGGCTTGTAACCAACAGAACACAGCAGATGTGAGGGTGCTGCATGGCATCCAAAGCCATGTCAGAGGTGCCGGTGCCTCTCCAGTTCAGGCCACACTTAGGGTGCAGCAGCTGTCACCTTGGGAATGTCCCTGCAGGTACCCCATGAGGCCTCTGGCCAACTTCCAGCCTTCTCAGATGGGACCCCCACAAAGCCCTGAGGGAACCACAGCTGTCAACACCCAGGCAAGGCCACAAGGCAGATCCCTTGGCAGATGCTCCCCCATTTCTAACCCACTAGAGTATGAGCAAGTCAAATGGTGGCTGTTGACACCACTGAGCATGGGTGGTCTCAACAGCAGGAGTAACCAAAGCCCAGGATGCAAAGCTGCCTGAATACCAGTGAGATGCCAGGAGGGGGACAGCGAATGGTAAGGACCCAAAACAGCCACCGTGGGGCACGGGAGAGGATGGCCTGGCACCTCGGCACCTCTGGTTGGAAGACAAAGCATGCCTTTCCGAAGCTCCTCTTCCTTCCTATGTCTTCCCTCCTCCCCACCTGTCTACCTCTACCTTCGTAAGGGCTTGTTCTTGGAAAGCATGATATCCCCCTGGTAAAGGGTCCGCAGCATGAACAGGGAATGGCAACCAACCAGCACAGACCCATGCTCTGCCTCCAGGCCCACACCTCCAGGAGGCTGCTTTCCCGACTTCACTGCTGACAGTACTTTCCTTAAGGCATTCTCAAGGAGGCCTCAGACTTCTCAAGGCACCGTTTCCTTAAAGTGCCTTTGCAAATCTCTCCTGGCCCCATGTGTTGATTTTATAGCTTCATTTCAGAAATAATCTCATTTATGAATGTTCACCTGCGTGACTGTCATGATGCGTATATTCTGGGGACTACCTCTTTTTTCATTCCTTTGCACTGCCCTCATGTCCTCCTGTATATAGAATAAAGAACCTCAGCTGACTTCCAAATTGGAAACTTCTGGCAGAAATGCTTAAAAAATTGTTGTTTCAGTAAGTTAACAAAAGCTAGTCTTGTGTAGCAGAAAAACTGACGTTACTCACCACTGACAAATAAAAACTGCTCCTAGCTCTCTGTTACTGGTGACAGCAGTAACAGCCTGCCAGGAGATTCAGCAAAAACACTTCCCAGTGCTCATCCATGTAACACTAAAAACACTAAGTGCAGTCAGCACTGCATTACTTGCAACTTCTAGACACGGAACTTGAGCCTCTGAGGACTGAGCAACCAGGTCAGGACACAGCAGGCACCACGCTGGTTAGAAAGCTGGATCTGCCCAACTCAAAGTCTGAGTCAGCAGGCAAACTGCACTCTCCGAACATCTCTGCAAGAGACAGCTGGTGTCAGAAACATGCACACCCCTCCCAGCACCCTGCATTTGGCATACCTGTTTTTTAAGCTGAGAAACCGGATGGCAACGAGAACTATAGCCTTCTGCAAGATGAATCAACAATTCCACTACTGCTTTTTCCTAGTTTAGAGAAAATGGTGGTTACTATAATATTTGGTTAGGTTTTTAGCTTTCTTCTATTGAACTACAGGCCACTTAGAATCCCAATTTCTCATTATCTTTCTTCAAATAATTCTATGCAGCTAGAAAAGCAAACGCTTCATTAAAATAGGTTTGACATGGCAGAAAAATCACAGCCAACAAAATGATTTTAAATGATGGCCATTAACAATAGTAGATCACGAATGCCACACCCACCCTCTGTGCACAAAACTGGAAATGAATAAGAAAAAAAAAGACCCCAAAGAATTGGAAATTTAACTAGGAAAGTCATTTGAACACTAAAAATCTATACAACTAAAAAAGATCACATAAACATTTAATTGCTAAGCATATACATATTTTTAAAAGCATAAACATTACATTATTTGCAGCTGATATAACCACATAACTTAAAAATCCGTCAGCCAACTAAACCCCATGGGAAATAAAATCAGTGAGTTGATAAAGTAAAAAATCTGTAACTACCTACAATTCTTAATAGCACAAAACAAACAACTAAAGTAGCTAGATATGAAATACAGAAGAAATGTGCTAGCCTTCCATTCACTCAGATGTCTGAGAACCTGGAGTGCACAAAGGAGAGTGCTGGGCAGTATGCGGGAGGCACATGTGTGTATCTGCATGGGTGATGTCCCCCCACAGGGCAGACACACACGCAGTGTACATATGCCACTGAAGAGCACCTGGTTTCTGTTCCAAGATGTGAATCCACCCAAGGGCTTCTGAGGAGAGGGATGACATTTGTAAAAGGATCATGCTGGCTGCTGTGTTATGACAGGGTGAAGGGCTCGCAGAAGTTGGTGGGCAGACCAGTTAGTGCCAATGACATTCCAGGTAGGGGATAGGACGGCATGGCCAGGTGGTGGCACAGGAGGGACAGGGAGTAGCAGATGTGGATCATATTATTTTTTTTCTCTTTTTTTTTTTTTTTTTGAGACTGAGTCTTGCTCTGTCATTCAGGCTGTAGTGCAGTGGCACAATCTCAGCTCACTGCAACACCCACCTCCAGGGTTCAAGCAATTCTCCTGCCTCAGCCTCCCAAGTAGCTGGGACTATAGGTGCCTGCCACCACATCTGGCTAATTTTTGTATTTTTATTAGAGACAAGGTTTCACCATGTTGGCCAGGCTGGTCTTGAACTCCACCTGCCTCGGCCTCCCAAAGTGCTGGGACTACAGATCTGAGTCACCGCGCCTGGACTGTGGAACATATTTCTAAGACTTGTTCCAAGGTCCGAGTATGAATAGAGAAGGGGACTCTGAGGCTTCCAGCCTGAGCAGCCACCTGGGAGGCAGGAGATGCCACGTAGACAGGAGGCTCAGGATTTGAGGAATGAAGATGGGGAAACACTGAGTCCCTGAATAAGCTTCAACATTGTGAAAAATGTCAATTATCCCTAACTCAATCCACGAGGTGCTCATTGTTGTTTGTGTTTGTACAGGTTGACACAGAATAATAAATGGTGTTGAGACAACTTGCTGGCAATTAATTTTTTTTAAAGTAAAGCTAGATTCTGTACCTTACTCTCAAGATGAAATAAATTCCTTTTACATCTTTTGATGTAAAAGGAAAATAAACAACAGAAGTACTAGAGACAATGTATACATATATTTTTAATTTTGAAAAGTGAAGATTCTTTTCAGAATGACTCGAAATGTAGAAGCCAAAGAGAGAAAAAAAATCAAAACCTATGGACAAATAACAAAGCAATATGTACACAAATAAGGCTAGTGAACCAATGGGAAATACAAAACTGAAAAAAAAAGGAGAAAACACAGTAATAGCAATTCATGAATGAATTATAAACATCTAGTAAACACACAAAAAAAGAAATGAAAATAAAAACAAAATCTTGGCTGGATATGGTGGCTTGCGTCTATGGTCCCAGCTGCTCAGGTGGCAGAGGTAAGAGGATGGCTTGAGCCCAGGAGGTTGAGGCTGTCATGAGCCATGACTGTACCACTGCACTGAAGCCTAAGCGTCAGTGAGATCCTGTCTCATTTAAAAAAAAAAAAGTATTGATATCTTTTGTCTTCGAATTTTACTTTTTAAGAGTATTTACATAAGTGCCCAAACGAACAAAGATGTTCATTTAAGCAGCATAATTAGGAATTTTCCACATCAGGGAATATTACAACTCATCCATCAGTGAAGGATTACATAAGTAAATTACAACATACTGATAAAATGAAATAACAAACAGCTGACAAAAAGAATAAAGCAGAACAAAGATGCCAAAAACACACTGTTAATGAGAAACGGTAGCTATAAAACATAATGTATCTTCCTATGAACTCACGTTGGTATACTCATAGAAAAAATGTGGAGCAACGCCACCTAATTATTAACCAGTAGTTATTTCTGGGAGATGGAATTCCTGAGGGCTGTTACTTTTTCACATTAATTTTTCTGTTTCTATTAATTTTTGTTTGAACTTTCAAACAATTTTTAAAATAACTATCATATGTATTATCTGAAAATATTAAAATATCAATAACAAATGTTCTAACAAATTATTTATTTTGAAATAGAAGAATTAGTTTATTGACGATGCAAAAATATCCTACCCCATCGATTTGGCAAAAATCTGTAAAAATTTCCTAATATTTGGTTAATCCTGTTTTATAATTTGTTCTTTTGTTTTCAATACTTAGCTACTGTTACATTCAAAAGCAAATGTGTTTTTAAGAAATGAGTTAACTTTAGCTGAGATTAATACTGACTGATATGCGATAGAGAATATAAACATACATGTAATCCAATCCCTTTTTTTTTTTCCTGATGGAGGATACTGTAACTCAGATATATTAAAAGATGATTAATAGTTCATTACATTTCAAAAATAAACCATATTTTTTCATAGCTGAATGACAGTTAATCTAATTAATGATTTTCTTCTCAATAAATTACCTTAAAAACTGATAGCAGACCTTCATCAACAAATTTGAGTAACAGTACAACAGAAAACGCAAGCAACTGATTAGTTGTTTCTTTTGAAAATTCGTGTAAGTTGATCTCCCCGTGGCTTAAATGATCTCTTAAGCGGGGACCCTCCTGATGGTTCAGGAAATCCCAGAGAAATTCCTTTCAGAAAATAAACAGAGAAAATGTTTTATTAGTATCCGCAGCAGAGAGCTGTGCCTTATGCTGCTGAACAGAAGGGAAGGGTACATCCATCAAGCCCTCTGAAGCCCTGGGTGGGGCCTTGCTGGAGAGAGCTGTTCTGCACCCACAGGACAGACCAGGGAGTCGGAGAGGCGGTGGGGAAGACAGAGCTGCGAGGGTGGTACTGGAGTCTTACCAAACTCCAGTCTTGCTTGTTTTCACCCTCCTCCAAGGAAGGGAACTGAGTATGAGCATATGCAGGTGAGCTTTTCCAAGGCAATAAAAGAAATCATGGCTCTTGCTTGTGTGAGCACAGCCCCTGCACTTTCTTATCTGCTCTTTCACCTTCGAAGCCTGTTGCTTCTTATGACACTAGTCCAAGGCCTCTCCCACAGGTTGTAGGGAAAAGAGGTCAGAAAACTGCTGCCCTAGGCAAATTGCCAATGGACAGAAGAGTCACAGAGACTCAAGGTGGAAAGAACATTAAACTAGTTCAATCGTCTTATTTTTCGATGGTAAAAACGGATGCCCACAGAGCACAGAGTCTAAAGTCACAGAACAGGAGCATGGTTCTAGGTCACCTGACTCAATCTGAAGGAATAAATGACAAATACCTATTGCAGTTCAAATTAGTCACTGAAATATCCTCATAAAATATAAAAAAGTTGATAAATGGCTTTAAACAATTAGTGATTCTCTTTTCATCCAATACTCAATCTTATTACTCCCTATTGGTTGGTTTTTTTGTTGTTTTTTTTTTGAGATGGAGTCTCGCTCTATTACCCAGGCTGGAGTGCAGTGGTGCGATCTGAGCTCACTGCAACTTCCGCCTCCTGGGTTCAAGTGATTCTCCTGCCTCAGCCTCCTACGTAGCTGGTACTACAGGCACACGCCACCATGCCCAGCTAATTTTTTTGTATTTTTAGTAGAGATATGGTTTCACTATATTGGCCAGGCTCTAGTCTCAAACTCTTGACCTCAGGTGATCTGCCCACCTTGGCCTCCCAAATTGCTGGGATTACAAGCCTGAGTCACTGCGCCCAGCCTGTTGCATTTAACAAGGCACAAATACATGTAAAAAACAAATTCAAATTTTGCTTAGGGATAGGGCAGCTGAATCATCAGGCCTTTATAAAGGACATTTAAATAACGGCATAAAGCAGAGTACCCCAGCTGAAGTGACAGCATGGGAAGCATGAGCTGATTGGTGGTTGAAGCTGAGACAGCACAGGAATGGTTCAGAAGTATTTTTCTTGAGCAAACCAGAAGTCAAAATTAATTTCATTTTAGAGAAGTGCTGATGACATCCATAAATAAAAGAATATTACCCTGGAAAATACCTAATACTTACCATAGCAGGCTCTCCAAGGAAAAGAGGAAGCTGATTGATTTCACCATCATTCAAGTGTTTTGCCAATATCTAAAATATCAAAAATAAATACATTGATTAATTGGTCCCCATACATAAACACAGAGAACTTTCAGAGTTGATGGATATAGCACTTTTAGCGTAACTTGTTATCTAAGGTCCAAGCAAATTAAATGGCATGAGGATAGTCTTTAAAATACAGCAAACAGGTGTTCAGGAAATATTTTCTTAACCAATAGAATGTCTTTAAGAATATATTAATTGAATATACACATTTGTTTGTATATGTGACTGTGTATGTGTGTGGTATGTATATATATATATATGTGCATAGGTGGAGTGGGGCTGTGTACATTTGTGTGTTTATATGCAACTGTGTGTATGTGTGTGTGTGTGTGTAGTATATGTGTCTGCATATGTGGTGTGGGGGTGTATATGCCTGTTTGTATATGTGGCATGGAGGTATGTGTTCGTGTGTGTATGTGTGTGCATACATGTGTGTTGTTTTTATATACATCAGTCACTTCCTAAGTCACTTCTTAACTCACCATGGACTTTGCCCAACCACCCCAATCAATCCCACAGACCTGACTCTCTATAGACTGGACTGCACTATCCAGTCAAATCCTCATGTTACCAAAGGTCTTACATATTAAAATATCAGCAGATTATTCACCTAATGGAAGAAGCTCTGCTAGTAAGCAGGCACATTTTTAACTTACCCACCACACACTCACTTAGGAATCTAATGGTTGTCTTAAAGGCAAAACTGAATATCCAGATCCCTACAGGTGGCCCTTCCCTTGGATTCCTATAGGCTGTCACACTTTAGGTGCACATGAATGCTACCCAGGATTACATGCACAAAAGCCTCTATGCTTTATGGGTGATAAAAGGCATTTTCAACTGTGATTTTTACTCTTCACACCCCCAATATGCAGATTAAATGAATCAGTATATACTATACACTCATAACAGTAGTTAGGGAATATTTCTCATACAAAAAAGATGTACCCCTAAATCTAAAATGCAAGCCTCTAAATAATTATAGCTAATCATGTTAGATTACTTAGTACTTTCCAACTTTGAACTTTGTATAGCTTTAGGAGCTAGATTAGTAATATGGGGCCTCAAAATTACCCTGAAATATCAATTATAAGCTTTTATTTGGTTCATATTACTATGGACATTCTTCTGTAAGCATATGATTTATGGCCGATCTTTCATTTTGTTTTAATTTGTATTTTAAAAGAAGACAATGTCCTGCTTGTTTCAAGTTACCTTGAAACAAGTTTAATTACTTACTTCATCAAGTTTAATTACTTACTTCATCAAAGGTGGTATAAAGAGCTGTTGACTTAAGAAAGGAAAGAAATGAAAATAAACAATTAAAGCAAAATACAAGTACGGTAACACTATTCAAAATAAGAAAAAATTCTGGTACATGGCCAAATATCCCAAAGTTTCTTGTTAAACATTCATCTAGAAACACTATGAGAGGAATATCACTGACAAAATAAACACATTACAAAAGTTGCAAAAACATGGCACAGCTGGCCATGAAGCCACATTAGGACACTGCGCTCAATGGAGCTTTAGCCCAGTCCTTTCTAAAATGTTCAATCCCAGACCCTCACAAATCGCTGCTCATACAACACAGTATTTCTCCTGACGACTGGCATTTGTGCACAAGTGGACACAGCTTCCTATTTTTGCCAGCGAATAGCCTTGTCCGTTTTTATTTATTTCATTCATTCATGCTACTTCTCTGCAACATCAGCACAGCCTACAGACACAGGCTGCCCTGAGTTCTGATCCCAACTTCAACATTTTCTAGACAGCAAACCCTGGCAACTGATTTGACTCTGCAGATTCAAGTTTTCTCTGCAAAACGAGAAGTGAATAATGCCCATCTCAAACAATTTCTGGGGAACTTTAGTAAAGATTTTATAGACCGCATGATGAAATCAGGATTTTGTGTAAGCTAGCTCCCTAGAAATGTTTTTTAATTTATTAATGTTTAATAACCTACTTTAAATTTTATATTGCCAATATTCTTCAACATTTTTCACTACACAGATGATTCTAAAATCTGTATCTTTAGCTCTCAAATCTGAATTGCTAGCCCTAAAATTCCTTCTGAGTTCTGTTCTAAACATCCAATTGTCTACCACATATTCCCACTTTCTCCAAAAAGTGGAATTTTTCATTTACCTCCATCAACTACATGCAGTAGCTTCTACTTTGTTTTATAAAACAAATATTAATGCCTTCTCACTCTCCCATGATCAATAAGCTTCTGAAGTCAGAAAATCTCACTCATATTCATATCTTCCACTGGTCCTGAAGACACCTCATGCCACAAAAGTATTCAGTAAATAATAAAAGTCTTTGATAAGTTTTATGAAATATCTTCATATAGGTACTGCTATGGGAAGAGATGGCCAGGGGCAGACCTGTGTTACTTATAGTTAAATGATTACAAGCTTGCTCTGCTTTTTATACACTGAGATTTGTGCCACAGATCATATCCAAACTATGGTGTAGTAGAATAAAAGCAGAGATCAAGCAGTAACAGGAGGCCTATGGTAAAGCCCATCTGAGAGTGCCCTATAACCACAGAACACTGTGGTGTGATTGCAGAGCAGAAAAAAATAACTGCTTTGGTCCCACAACTCTTCCCAACATAGAGTTTGTATGAGGATCTCGTAAAGGGAGCTTATGCAAAAGACTCTAGGAAGGAAATGCAACCTCTGCTCATAAGACTTGGAAGGGTCTTCATAGATGAGAGCTGGTAAAGCCAGAAGGCCTTACAGGGCAGAGACACTGGAACGCCACAGGCTCTGCCTGTGTTCTCAGAATATGGAGCAATTCTCATTGCTCTGTGTCCACAATGCTCGGGAGATAAGAGCCCCTTGATGCACTGTGTGTGGTCAGACCTTATGGCACCTTGTCCACTGTACCTCTCTTGCCAAAACACCTGGATAGACAATGGGTGGTGAAATCTCAGTGTCCTTAGCATTTCTTAGGAGAACCATGTTTGCTATTGAATGCTGCAGACACATGTTCTTCCTCCGGCTGTCCTCCTCCTCAACCCCCTCCTCACAGCCTGCAATACACCTAATAAAAGCGCTTGGAGCCCAGAGCTCCATGCCAATTCAGATCACCCTGACAGAGTGCACTGGACCCCTGGACCCAAGCTGTCAAATGCTATTCTTGTGTCTTTGTCTTCATTTCTTTTCTCACTCCCTCATCACTGCCAGGACACGGGCACCCACGTTGAGGGCTGGGCTGGTTCCCAACGTACTGCCTTACAAACTGATCCTGTTTATTCTGGATAAAAGCCTGGCTAAAACTTAACATATTCTTTGATAGATCATATCCTCTGTGGAAACAGTCATTTTATTTATTTATGAAGTCAAATGATAAGTAAATATCCAAATACACAAGTTTATTTGTACCACATGGCCCTACAGTGATGGAGCGTGCCATGCAGCTGATTCCCAAGCAGGCCTCATGAAGCAAGGACCCAACTCTTTCCTAAGCTCCTCTCCACACCATGCAGCCTACACAGAAGGCACTGATTACGGGCACCAGGCGACAGCAATGTGAAGGCCTGCCTTGGAGAAGCTGCAGAGACCTCTGCAGAAACACATGTGAGTAAGGCAAAGCAGGATGGTCTCCAAGATGAAATAGAAACACAGAGAAAAGCAGCCTCCACCTTTGAGTAGATGAGCCTCTGGGAGTCACTCTTATGGCCATAGCCCATCACCTGGACTGGTAAGTCTGGGGGTGAGGGACAAAGTAAGAGGAAAGACAGGCAAATTCTGGAGTGGACAAGAAGCCTACATTACATTGGAGAACACAAACAGGGAACACAACCAAAGACGAGGGCAGGGTTAGAACCCGAGGCCTTGCTGCCACGTGAAGAACATGAGCTCCATCTGACAGGTGGCAGAACATCATAAAAGAGGTTAGACAAAGGAAAAACCATAAACAACATAAGAATATCAGTTTAGAAAATAATCAGTGGAGCCAGACATGGTGGCTCACACCTGTAATCCCAAAACTTTGGAAGGCCAAGGCAGGAGGATGGCTTATGCCCAGGAGTTCGATACCAGCCTGGTCAACATGGCAAGACTCCATCTCTACAAAAAAAAAAAAAAAAAAAAAAAAACCTTAAAAATTATTTGGGTGTAGTAGCGCATGCCTGTGGTCCCGCTACTTGGGGGGCTAAGGTGGGAGGATTGCTTGAGCCCAGAGGTTGAGTCTGCATTAAGCTATGATCGCACCACTGCATTCTATCCTGGGCAACAGAGCGAGACCCTGTCTCAAAAAGAAACCTAAAAAAAAAAAAATAAGAATCAGCAGGACTGTAAGAATAAAATTGAAAAGGTGGAAGAATCGCGAGATAGGCTCGGGTGGGCCGAGGAGCCAGGCGGGGCTTCTCAGCTTGGACAGGAAGAGACGAGGTCGGCTGGGTGGAACCCACCAGCCATGCTGGCCACTGAGTGGACATGGGAAGCATGGGAAAACATGAGGTGCTGCTGGAGTCTGCAGCTGATGAGGCTGAGATGACAGAGGAAGGTTCAGAGGCCAAATCTGTGGGAAACAATGCCTTTCTGAAGTAACACAAATGTGAAGTGCTGAGGAACTCAGCGAACATGAGCAGACCTAACTGCACAGATCAGATGAAGGTCAGTGAGAAGCAACACTGAGAAGCCTGGCTCCTGGGCCATAAGCTGCCCTCACAGCACTGCTTTCGCTGGGTCCAAAACTTCTCATGTGTTGGGTTTCATTTTCTTTTTTTTTTCCCATTTATTTATTTTATTGCATTTTAGGTTTTGGGGTATTATGTGAAGAACATGCAAAATTGTTGCATAGGAACACACGTGGCAGTGTGATTTGCTGCCTTCCTCCCCATCACCTACATCTGGCATTTCTCCCCTTGCTATCTCTCCCCAGCTTCCCACCCCCCACCGTCCCTCCCCTGTTTCCCCACAACTGACCCCAGTGTGTAGTGCTCCCCTCCCT